GTTATTTATGCTGCCTTCTTTCACACGTACACCTCATTCTTACAAATTTACTCAATGAAAAAGACAAATTTACAGCCTGAAACTTCCACAACAAAGCAGGTAAAGGAAGTGTTTGTTGGAAATAGAATGCGTCCACTTCTGTTTTAAGTTAATTCTGCTGATTCATTATGAAGTAAATGATAAAACTTCTTTTGTGTAAGCATACAGTGTATGCATAGTTCATGAAGGCATGGGCACAGTGTATGTAGGTATGCATACATGCATGTGAGTACAGGTCAAAGACTGATGTGAGGTGTCATCTTTGATTGCTCCCCACTTTGGTTCCTGAGACAGCATCTCTCTGAACCCAGAGTTCATTGAGAGGATCTTGAAGGTGTGGACAAAAGGAAGGTGCTTCATGAAGATCCTGTTTTCAACCAAGGAAATCTCACAATATTCCTTTGGAAAGGAGGAGGAACTCAGCTACCTCTTTAAAATTCTATTGACTTAAATTTATTTTATTTTATATGTATGTAAGTGTCTGCCTGCATATACATCTGAGCACCACATGCAGGCATGATGACCATGGAGACCAGAAGAGGGTATCAGATCCCCTGGACCTGGGAGTTATACCATCTTATGGTGGTAGGAATTGAACCCAAGCCCTCTAAAAGAGCAATCAGTTCTCTTAACAGCCAAGATACCTCTCTAGCCCCTAATTATATTTACTTATTTATTTATTTATTTCATTTTGTTTCTTTGTTTTGTTTGAAACAAGGCCTTACTCTGTACACTAGGCTACCCTGGAACTCACTATGTACCTGAGGGTGACCTTGAACTCACAGCAATCATCCTGCCTCAGCCTTCTGAGTAAAGGAATGACAGGCATGGCCACCAAGACCAGCTTCAGCTACCACAGGAAAATGGCCCTGTCTTTTCATTCAGAGAGAGGAAAGCCAAGTGTAGAGAGCACATCCCCCTTTCACGGGGACAGATGGCCTTACCCACTGTGACGAGGTTGCTGTAGGTCTCCAACATCAAGTCCCTGTATAAGACCCTCTGAGTAGCATCCAGGCAGGCCCACTCCTCCTGAGAGAAGTCAACAGCCACATCCCTGAAAGTCACTGACCCCTGAAACCACAAACACAAGTGGAGTGAAACTGGGGAAGAATTCAAGATGGAAAATCGGAGGGGAAAGGACTCAAGAACAGGAAGAAGACATGGAAATGCTCAAAGTACCTGGCTGCACCCTACGCATTCAATAAATATGCATTTCAATTCCATCCACACCCTTCAAGTTATAGCCCACAAGAGAGAAATGTCACCTGGGTTCAGTGTAAAATACTAAGAAATAGTGTGAGTCCTTGAGTTTATTATGGTATCAGATGATATCAGTGAGATTTTTTTTGGTCACAAGAATGATTTTTGCAACTATGTAAGAGTCCGTAAACTATGTAAGGGTTCATATTACTGGCATATTAGGTTTAATGGGTTTTGTCCTGAAAAACAGAAACTTTCAAGGTGAACAGTGTGTCTCAGGTCTTCCTGGACTCTGGAGACGACAGCCCCCTCCCAATCACAGCCTGGATGACCTTTCCCTCTCATCACTGAACTCTCTCTTAAAGCCCCTCAAGCAGGTCATCACACACATGGACCAAGGCCATTCACTCTCAAACCCTGTGTCATCAGCCTGAAAACACCAAAGATGTCAATCAGGAGTCCCAGTGCAGTCAAAGGAGACCATCACCTCAACGTTCTGAAACCCCCAAAGACCCTGCTTCCCTGTGGACTGTCACCTCCTCTGCAACGACAGTCCTCCCTGACCCAAGACCAGGCAGAAAGCAGATGTGCAGGGATGCATTCAAAGAAAACTCCAGAACCAGCAGGAAAGAGCCACAGACAGGAAGTGCTCTGGTCTTCCAACCCTCACTGTAATGGGCAGACTGGGCTGGAGGACTTCAGGTTCTTGGAAAGCTTCACAAGAGAAGACAGCAAAGACTCACCTAACCTGAAAGTCACCCTATGTAAAGAGACAAAGGTCAACTTACACAGACCATGTCTTGAGAACTAGAGCTGGCCATCCTTCTTCAGGATCCTCCCCTGGGGGACAAAAAGAAAGCCTTTCAATGGATTGTGACTTGATGTTCCCAGACTGACTTAGGTCAGCATGACTTCATCGACTACTTTTATATCTCAAGCACCCCCACTCACACACTCCTCTCCCACTGCTCATAGCCTCCCACACACAAATTAGAAGCAGACAGGAGTCTACACAAAGACGATTCTGTCCTAATCCCAGACAACCCATTGCATGAGGGCTCAATATGGATGTGCAGAGCATAAGCACGACTGTCTTTAGTTCCTCCAGAAGATGCCAGCAGAAGGGATCCCATCTTCCATCCTGAGATCCAGCTAGTAGGCCCCTCCTTCTACTGTAAGCAGATCTTCCTACTGGAATCCCATCTTTCAGGGCTGACAGGGGTAACAGCATCCAAACTGTAACTCCCTTGAAAACTCAGGGCTGAGTGAGACACAGCAAAGCTGGAGGGTCTGCAGCTGCAATCCTCAGGCAGTGTTCAGCACTCCGAACCCACTTTGAGTGAATGGGATAGTACACCATGGAACACTTTCCTGAGTGCTTTCCCTCAGATATGATTATGGCTTCCATTGTATCAATTAAACCATATTCTTTATGAAGATTATTAGCTACAAAACATGGTGTCAGAGATCGTGAATGTGATTTGTTTCCCACTTTCATTAATTAGGAGATATTTTACACAGAATAAAAAAATTCAAGGTGTTGTAAGTCTTTAAATTCGGTTTCTCAACCTCAGCATGTTGACATAATTACTCTGTGTTGGGGTGTGTGGGAGGACTATGTTGTGCTCTGTACAACCTTCAGCAGCATCAACCTCTACTCAAGATCTGAGTAGCACACACATCCTCAGAACTCCCTACAATGTTGGTAATGGGGGGTGTGAGTGGCTGAGGTAATGGAGGTGTGAGTGGCTGAGGTAATGGAGTGTGAGTGGCTGAGGTAATGGAGTGTGAGTGGCTGAGGTAATGGAGTGTGAGTGGCTGAGGTAATGGAGGTGTGAGTGGCTGAGGTAATGGAGTGTGAGTGGCTGAGGTAATGGAGTGTGAGTGGCTGAGGCGGGATGTGAACATCGTGGTTGAGAGTGGGAAATGTAGATCCATAAGGGAGTTGGGAAGATGCTGATCAAGGACTACTCAAGTACAGCTCCACAACCCAAGTTCCAGATACATCGTGCAACACAGTGACTATGCTTAATGGTTCTGAAAGACTCAGAGAGTAGACATTAAGTGTGCTCACTAAAAAATGTGACAGGTAGATTTAGACATCCCAAAGGACATAAAAACTCCACATACTTTAAAAATACAAGAAACGTCATCCAGCTGGTGTGGTGATATATTGTGCACCCTAATAAAACTTGCCTAAGGATCAGAGGACAGAGTCAGACACTAGATTAGACATAGAGACCAGACAGTGGTGGCACACACCCTTAATCCTATCACTCAGGAGGCAGAGATCTGTCTGGGTTCAAGGCCACACCAGAAACAGAGATAGGCAGTGGTGGCACACACCTTTAATCCCAGTACTGCGAAGCACACACCACTTTGACCCCAGGAAGTGACAGCAGGGTGGAGAAAGGTATAAAAGGCGTGAGGAAACAGGAACTAAAGCAATTCAGCTGAGACCCTTTCAGGTGAGGACTCAAAGGCTTTCAGTCTGAGGAAACAGGATCCAGTGGATGAGGAGTTGACAAAGTTTGGTTGGCTGTGGCTGCTCTGCTTCTCTGATCTTTCAGATTTCACCCTGATATCTGGCTCTAGGTTTTTTCATTAAAAGACCATTTAAGATTCAAACAAGTTGGGGGAGGGGGGTTGCACGCCTTTAAACCTGGCACTCAGGAGACAGACATAGGCAGATCTCTGTGAGTTCCAGGACAGCATGGTCTACAAATCGAGTTCCAGGACAGCCAGGACTATTACAAAGAGAAACTCTATCTTGAAAAACAAAACAAAAAAAAAAATTCATCTCAATATTTAAACAAATTCTGCTCTACTACATTCACTTTCTTTTACTTCTTACTTTTGAGACAGGGTCTCACTGTGTTCCCCAGCTAGCCTGGAACGCGATATGTGGGCTAAGGTGACCATGAATTCACAAACATTCTCCTGCTTCTGCCTCTCCAGTGCTGAGATTTAAAGTAAAAACCATAAAGTCTAGCTTTTTTCTTTTGATTCATTTTCATAAAAATACAGCGAGTAATCACATTATTTTTAACACTCCTTCGTACTACAGAAAACTGAAGAGAATGAACCGAAAATGACCACACAAAGCAACAACAAAAACACATCAGGTGCTTCCTATATGGCTGGCACTGCACTAACAGGCTTTACTACAGTCATTCTGAGGTACATGACAAGGCTAGAGATCCGGAAAAAGACAGAACTTAGACTCCAACCCGGATACCACAGATCCACATCTCCAATTCAACCACATCACTGTACGTCTGGATCCGGCCAATATTACCCGTTTCCACACACAGACACCCTGAAAATTACTAGTTCTCAAAGATGCCAAATTTTGTGCTATCACTTTCCCACTCCTGAAATCCTCAGGAGTGAACAAAAATCACCTACCACCTCCATTCTTCCCCTGCTTTGAAAGGAAGGCCTTTAAAGATCAAAAGCCACCTGATGTGCGATGTCATCGAAATAGTTATCGATTTACCAAATCGGGGTTTGAAAGCCCTAACGCTAACCTCTGGAGGTTCCTATCGATAACATCTTGGGCAAATGGAGTGATTGTAGAGAGAAGACGTCAAGGATCTCTGAAACGATTATGTGAATATTAAGTGGAAAGGGAGGGGACAATGTAAGTTAAGGGCCACAGTGGTGGAGGTATCAATTGACATATTCCTCCTTCACTTACTGACAATTCTATATTCCAAAACTACAACTCGTTCCTCACACCGAACAAAGAGCAAACTCACTCTCGAATCTTAGATGTGTAGCAATAGTGTTCGCACTCTTCTCCAGGCCCTCGTTTGAATAGCGGCAGACTCGGGAGCCCGAGCAAGCAGGAGATCCCAGGCTGTGCATCCGAGTGAGCACTCTCCTTCACTTCCCACAACACCCACGATGGCTAGAGCTCCCAGAAAGTTCTGGACTCAACGAGCAGCTGCCCTCCTAGGCGACCCTCGGGGGCGCTTCCGGCCTCAAATGCTCGCCCCGAGCTCAAGTCTGGACCTCAGGGAAAGCTTCCCTCAGACTCCGTCCCTGACCTCTCGGCACTGAAGCCTGGTCCTCTGCTTCAGCCCCTGTGGCCGTGAGAGAAAGCAGGAGCAGAGAGAGGCTAGCACAGTGACCCAGACAACGCAGAGTGCTCGAGGTGCGCACACACGCACGCACACGCGCACACACGTACACACAGACACGCACACACACACACAATCACACGCACACACACACACTCGCAGGCACACCACCGTCCCTACACACTCACACTTCACCATCCACCCACCCCACATCACCGTCCACACCCACACCCAGCCCGCTGGCTCCCGCCTCTCTCAGTGGAGAATTACGCTAACCAGAGACTTCTTCCTCCTACCAGAAAGTTCTGACTGTCCACGGTAGCTCAGCTAGGACACCGGAAGTTGATAGGTTATGTTCGGCGCGGTGGCTTCTGGGAAATATAGTCCCGGTGTCCAGAACTCCAGGAAGCCCAGCGCTCCGAGGGTCAGAGAAATCCCAGCATGCACTTGGGCCAGCCCATCTGGGAGCTCCGCCCAGTGGTTTGTGGGAGTTCCCACAGGGGTGCGCGCTTAAAGGGGAGGCTCCCGGTGCGATCAAAAGTTACTTCCGGGGGCTGGAGAGATGGCTCAGTGGTTAAGAGGACTGGCTGCTCTTCCAGAGGACTTTTGTTCAATTCCCAGCGACCACATGATGGCTCACAACCATCTGTAATGAGATCTGGCACGCAGGGAGAACACTGTATACATAATAAATAAATCTTATATATAAAAAAAAGTACTTCCGGGTTCCATGGTAACTTACTTTCTCTCTTATGGGTGTACAGAGGAGCCTAAGTTGAAAGTGCAGAATTGGAATAAAATCAGACTGAGACGTTACTGCTTGATTACGCTTTGCCTGAGACCCACTGCAGAAGGATTCCACCTCGCTGTGCGATGGTAGGGACTATGATACATTTCAACAGACGAAACCAAAGAATTGATTGGTTTTAAACGTGGAGAGGATGGGCAGGTTACATCAGAGATTTCGGAGAGTAAGAAGTTCTGGACCCGTCCAGGGGTTGGTTCACTGTCCCTGTTACCTAGATAGGAAAGTGTTACTGAGGGCCACATCGGTATGTGACAACAGAACTGTGTCTGTGTTGAAGGATGAATGATCAACATGTGAAGGTATCGTAAACAAGTACAAAAGAACGCTTCGTGTTTGTAGGAAAAATCTACTTTTGTGGTAACATGACACTGTTGAACTTTCAAGGTCACTTTTGTTGTTTCATATATTTACACAAAATTTTTGTTCATTCCAGAACATGATAGGAAACAAATTTCAAGACAATGAGGTCCCTAATAAGCCCACTAGTTGTATGAAGTGAATTAGATTAGATTTGAAAACAAGTCCGACCTAGCCATGTGTTAACTACAGAAAATACGTTAAAGATTAAAGTGACCATCCTCACAATAGTCAAAAGAAGACTTAAGTCAATTTTAAAAATTGAGACGAATGGGGGACAAAAAACATTGCCAGTGATAATAAAGAGGCCAATTCGGGCTGGAGAGATGGCTTAGTGGTTAAGAGCATTGATTGCTCTTTCAGAGGTCCTGAGTTCAATTCCCAGCAACCACATGGTGGCTCTCAACCATTTGTAATGAGATCAGATTCCTTATTCTGGTGTATATATAAAATATACGAATAAATAAATCTCTAAAAAGAAAGAGAGGGCAATTCATCTAGTGAAAATAAACTTGGTTGGCATGGTAGCACATGCTTTTATTCCAGGCAATGGGGAGGCAGAGACAGGTGGATGTCTATGAGATGGAGGCCAGCTAGGAGTCCTCAGCTAGGACTATATGGTGAAACTGTGTCTAAATACTAAAATAAACTCAGAGTGCAACCCTAATAGCATAGCTTCAAAGATGAAGGAGGGGAAAACTTGCTAGAGTATTAAGGAATGACAGCCACATCCACCATCATATTGAAATGTTTTCAATCTCAGTTGATGGAACAAACCCAGAAAAGTAACAGAGCATAGCAGAACTGGACAGCATATCAACTGTGAATGCTGTGAGAATCAAAATGGAGACAGTTAAACTTTAATGGAGTATCTTGAAGGGAGGGCTTTCATGTATACATACCTATGGCAAGATTATTTCTATACTCCTTTAAAGGCCATAAAAGTGTACAAGGCCCACATGACCTTACACACAAAAGATACTTCTGTGAGTACATCTGTTGGCTAAGTTTCTTTTCGACTATAGACTGATGTCATTTTATCATTGCTTCTTATGGCCAAGGATGTTTCAAAACAACTTCTCTTTCCTACACTCCATCTTTACAAGTCCTAGCTTTCTTGCCCTCCCTAAATTAGCAGGTGCTCTATTGAACGACTACAATATTGCAGTCTTCTGATTGTTCCTGAATTGTTGTAAGCCATCTACTCACCTTTTTAACAACATTGACACAACCCACTTGGTCTCATATTTATGCAGCACTCTTCCCAATGACAAGAGAATTCTTACATGCAGGGAATGTTTACTGACAGAGCTATATTCTGAGCCATAAAACAAGTCTCAATAAATTTAAAGAAATCGAAGTCATACACAACATGTTGTTTGACAAATGGAATTAAAGTAAAAATCGAGGGCAGATGGCTATATAATAATGCACTAATTCTCTTGTTCCTAGCTCAAAATAACTGAAAAGAACAACTGAAGGAAGAAATTTTTTTGTTTTTCTCTGGGTTCTAGGGTTCACCCCATCACAGCAAAAGGAAGTCATTGTGATGGGAGCTTGGGGCTACTGGTCACACTGCATCTGCAGTAGCAAGCAGAGAGTGGCATGTTCATTTTAGCTAGCTTTCTAATTTTTATGTAGTCTAGGATCCCACTTTCAGGTGTATCTCCTCATCTCAATTAACCTCCCATAGATAATCCCTTAGAGACACGTCCAGAGGCTAACTTATCTCAATGAGCCTCACAGTCATGGCTAGAGGTTAACTTGTCTCAATGATCCTCACAGTAGTCATGGCTAGAGGCTAATTCATCTCAATGATCCTCACAGTCATGGCTAGAGGCTAACTTATCTCAATGATCCTCACAGTCATGGCTAGAGGCTAACTTATCTCAATGATCCCTCGGAGTCATGACTAGAGGATAACTTACCACAATGATCCCTCACAGTCATGACTAGAGGATAACTTATCTCAGTGATCCCTCACAGTCATGGCTAAGGCTACCTTATCTCAATGATCCTCGAAGTCATGACTAGAAGATAAGTTACCACAGTGATACCTCACAGTCATGACTAGAGGCTAACTTATCTCAATGATCCCTCACAGACATGCCCATGTTATGCCTGAGTCACAAGCCCCCAACCAGACCACCAAGGAGCCGACTTCCATACAAAAACAAGAGATTTTTTTTTATTCAAGCAGCCCAGGTAGGGACTTCGTCTGACACTCTGTTACAGGGAGTGAAGGGGGAAGCCCTGAGGACTTATTACAAGGGGTTTATATAGGAAAAGTTAACATGCAGTGGGTTACATACCATTGGACGAGGGGGTTGGGAGGTAGTTCTTTGAATTGACTGGCTGAACTATGAGGGTGAAGTTTCTAATGGCTAACAGGATGCAGGGTGTCAACAGAGACATAAACTTTTTACTCCCTATATCCTGTTTTTGTTGAACCCAGGATATATACATTCAGATTTATTATTCCAGTCCTATTTTCACATGAGTTCAATCTCTGGTCAGTTGAGTCTATTATTCCCCATATCCTGTTTGCTGAGTCCATATTATATAGATTTATTGTCACGTGAGTTCAATATCTGGTCAGCTCTGGGTTCATTTTTGGATGAGCAGATACCTTTAGATGGGGGGTGGTTCTCAAGAGGGCTACTGATTTTTCCCTTCACCCACAGCATTATTTCTTTAGTGATTCTAGATCTTGTTAATTTGACAATCAGTATTAACTATTTACACCGTGTCTTAGTTAGGGTTTCTATTGCTGTGAAGAGACACCATGACCACAGCAACTCTTATAAAGGAAAACATTTAATGAGGTGTCTTACATGTTCAGTGGTTTAGTCCATTATTGTCATGGTGGGAAGCATGGCGGCATGCAGGCAGAAATGGTGCTGGAGAGGTAGCTGAGAATTCTATATCTGAATCTGCAGGCAACAGAAGGAGAAACTGTGAGCTACACGGGGCATAGCTTGAGCATAGGAGACCTCAAAGGCCACCCCCACAGTGACACACTTCTTCCAACAATGCCACACCTTCTAATAGTGCCACTCCTTATAAGGGCCATTTTTTTTCAAAACACCACACTAAGATACTAGAAACTTGAAAGTGTATGACTGAAATAACTGAAATTATATAATGTTTGAATCATCCCTTTGGGGAATATAATTTTATGTTATACTCCAAAGGATAAAAATATCACCTGTGAGCATTGTCAGACCAAAATAAAGTCACTTATGTCAGACTCTGGGTAGATGGAACCTGTAGTCATGAAGGGAGGTTGTAAGCATGTGTTGAGAAATGCCTCCTGTCCTCTCCACCTTCCTGATGGATCCGCACTTCACAGCCACCCTCTTCTAGATCCATTTTGTGTGACTGAGTCACCCCTCTCCACAATGAAGACCGACTTCCATTCTTCTGTGTGGATCTTACATGGGTCTTTTGTTTTGTTTTGTCGGTTTTATTTGATTTGCTTTGCTTTGGTTTCATTTGGATTGCTTTGGTTTTTTGAGAGGGGATGTTTGTTTGTTTGTTTGTTTGTTTGTTTGTTTGTTTGTTTGAGACAAGGTTTCTCTGTATGGTCCTGGCTATCCTGGAACCTGCTCAGTAGACCTTGCTGGACTGAAATTCAGAAATCTGCTCCCTGTTTCTTGAGTACTGGGATTAAAGTCATGCACCACAGCCCGGCTGTATCTTATGTTTTAAATGTCAGAAATCAAGCTAATGAATTATGCCTACTGTAGTATGAGCCTGAGTTGCTCCCTTTCCTCACCATCAATGCTGAACTCTCTCTGAATCCCATGAAGTTCTGAATGGCCTGTGATAATAGCATTTATTGAGTGAGTGCTATTCATCCCCCCTCTCCTTTTTTAATTTTTCATGTGTGTACAGTGTGCGTGTTTACATATGTGTGGGGAGTGGTATGCATGCAGATGTGCACAAGCAAAAGAATAGTCGGACCAAAAAAATCACAAAACAATGCAAAATAAAACAAAGTTCACAAAAATACCACTGAATTCACT